GGCAAAACCGGTTTTTATTTGATGATTTTGTTTTCTAAAAGAATATTAAATTTAATAAATGTGTCAAGATCATTCGCTTCACTATTCTGGATCATTTTCATCCTAATAAATTAACCTGATACATTTACTTTACTTTAAATAAGCTATTTAGTGGTGTTGGTAAAAGGGTGGGAATACTGAATTTTCATAAGATTTCAAGTTAAAATTTACCTAGCAAAAAATGAAAACTTTTCAAATCTGAAGATATCACATGATTCTGCACATAGAACTACATCATTAATACCATGGGCCGATTTTTCAAACTCAAAAAAAAAAATTCGCCTCCGTATGACACACCCTACTGTGGTAGAACCCTTCTCCAGTTTGTACCATTGCTCTCCACAAAGGTGTATGTTTTGTCGAAGTGTGTCCCAAGCACCACACACTCATTCATCCAGCATGATTAAAGTTGCAAAAGTTGTAAATTGCTAAGAAGGAGCGTTCTTAAACACGAAATAGGCGAAATATATTTTTGCCATTTTATTTTGGTAGTGATTTTTATTGTTTTGTGAATCTAAAGCTATTTCGATGTAGGACCCTTCGCAAATCAGTACCATTGCTCTCCGCAAAGGTGAATGTTTCACAGAAGAGTCCCAAGCACCACACACACACTCATTCATCCAGCGTGATTATTTAAAGCAGCAAAAGTTGTACATTGCTAAGAAGGTGCATTCTTAAACACGAAATAGGCAAGATTTGTTTTTGCCATGTTATTACGGGATTTGCTATACCCAAGTTAACGATTTGAACTATTGTGTTGATATTGGCAGTAATATTTTTGTTTTGTGATTATAAGTCAGAATCTTCCAAGTTTGCCATTGTGCATAATATACTCTCCCATAAGGCATTTCAGACTAGGGCTTGAGCAGCTGTTCAACCGCAGGTGTCAGCTTCCCCAGTTTAGTGTTTACACACATATGTATGTAACTTGGTTAGGTATATGTATAGGGTTTTCTGTGAGATTAGTTTAATCCTCGTGGAGTTCAGAAAGTGTGACCGAGCGATGTATTAGCCCTTGTCTCAAATAAATGTGGGTTAATTACATTTGTCTTGTATAACTTCACCACCCACGGTAACTTTCCATGAGCAGTGAGCTGTCATGCTGTGATCATGTGGTCCATTCATTGAACACATGATCATTAACTTTCCACTGGAGGGCACGTTTCTAATTCTACCTTAGCCGGCTGTATGGGGCCGGCTATTTGCCCTCGATGATCACTCAGTCTTCACTCAACCCTCCCGAGAAACAGACATATTGATAGCCAAGCTTCACAGAGAAGCTTGCCGTCTGATTCTAACATCCATAGCTCAATTGATTAACTTAAGGTGATAATCCTTTTTGAAAGTGTACATACCTGTAGAAACCTTTTATAATAACTGCACAAAAGGAACCTATTGGATTTCGTTACTGAAGACCCACTAAACATTTATTTATATTTTAGTTCGTCTAGAATATAAGGTAACATGCTTCACAAGTGATTGTTACAAGTAGTGACAACCCAGGAAGGTTGTTACATATATGACAGCTTCACAAGTAGTTGTTATACAACGGTAACAGCCACCCAACAGATGCACAGTTGGTAATGGTAGAGATATTATGTTCTCCCCATTACTGTGTTATATACTGTTATACAAAGAAATGATTGTTACAGGGGATTGCCTGTGCCATCTATGTGGTCGTAGTAGCATTTTATCGAATCCAGCTAGGAAACACGAGGCTACATATATATACCTCACTCATAGGGAATCGAACATTGGACTTCTGCGTTACTTGTTATGTGGAAAGCCTAATTTCATAATGAAGAGGAGAACCAGGGAAAACACAAACATCTTGACTAAGTTGGATTTCTTAATTACTAACGTTTAGGAAATTATTTTTCCATCATCAGAGTCTGGAAAACAATTTAAAAAGTTTTCAAAATTACAGGTAATATACAATAAAAACAAAACATTATTCTAAAACTTACCTTCTGCAAAAGTTTTAAAAGACCATTAAAATTTAAAACCAATAAAAATGAGGGGAAACTAAAACATACAGGATGTATTACCTTAATTGAGTCGAGCCTTAGTGAGAAAAACACAACATTCACCAGAAGCCATATCACAAATGGATGGCTTTACTTTGTAGTGATACAAGGCGTCCATTATGAGGAAGTCCATCTCACAGTTGCTCCTACCAAGAACTGAGAAATCAGACTACGAAAATGGGTGGTCATGTTGGTGGGCGTGGTTACGGATAGATGAATGTGGTGGTTGTATGATTAACTGGCCTGTTCGGACGGAACGGCCCAAGTGCTCCTGGATGAGAGTTATCAGTACCTATTTGTTTTACCTACATATGCTGCCCTACAGCTAGCACACGAAAGTTGACAAACAACTGAGGATTGAAAGTGTGTGGGTATGGTGTCTTTAGTTTTAAGAACTTTTTAATTGAACTTTGGGCTTTGAAGACTAGTTTAAGAGAAATTTGTGGATATAATTAATTGATAAACTTCTTTAGTTTGTTTCTAAGGGTTATACTGAGTGGACCCGTGTACGGGATGGTGAAATAGAATATTTAGGAACGGTGTGGATTTGAGGCTTCGTGGGACCCAAAATCCTATTAAGAGTTTTGCCTTTATGAGTATCTGTAAATCTCTTAGGAAAACCATTGTTAAAGCGTAGTTCCTTTATACATTTCAGTTCATTGTCTAGGTGTAAATATCTTTAAAATATAACAGGCTCTGTCGGTAAGAGTACACACTAGATTTCGTTTGTAATTAGGAGGAATTAATTATGAAAATTTGGTGCTCACATCTGTGAATGTTGGTTTTCTGTATAAGGCTGTCTCGAAACTATTATCAAGACGGTGCATATTAATATCAAGAAATGGTAGAATATTGTCTTTTTCGAATTCACAAGTAAATTTGATGTTGCTATGCTTCGAATTTAGATAATTAGGAACATAGGGACGTGATCAAGTGATCTGAAAATTAAAAATGTGTCATCAACATATCGTCGATTTGGTGACAGAGGAAAGCGTTGGCTAACGTGGGACCTAAGGGTGAACCCATAGCAACACCATCGCATTGTTTATAAGCTTTGTTATTAAATAAAAACAAACAATCATTTACAGCCAGTTCAAAAAATTCTTTAAATTGTGGTCCACTGCATCCGTCAATTATATCTGTATTTGAGAACAATTCATCTGTAAATATGTCAATAGTTTCTTCAAGAGGATTGTTAGTAAATAGCGAGTGTATATCAAAGCTACCTATAACACAGTTGTTGAACGAGATGCTGGTTAGAAATATGGACAGATTATAGTTGAAGGTGCCGAGGACATACAATATAGGGCATAAGGGACACGCATCCTTGTGTATCTTTGGTAGTCAGTACAGGACACCTGGTTTAAAACCGCTAACAAAGAGCTTTATAAAGGAGGAGTCATTAATGACATCCTTGTTTTTAAGTTTACGAAGAAATCTGTTTATATACTGTAGTCCTCAAACTTGAAATTGCAATTGAAATTTAAATACTTTATTGACGATAAAACTATTACATCAAAAGGACAGGTTATTATACTACTCCCACCCTCACTTTTGCCGTCCCCTTCTGGGGCTTACAAAAAGTTATAAATATTAATACAATAATTATTTTTACATCAATGAAAAAGTTCATTTTGACATGAACACTGTACTAAACTAATATAACTGATAATGTAATCCTACACAAAGTTAAATGTCATATTGTTGGAGCAAAATTTTTATACATTTCGAGAATAATTTTAATCTTTCCATTAACTTATTAATCATCCAGCAAACTTGTTTCTTTAAAGTAGTGATCTCACTGTTCCTGTATGGTTGGATTTTTTTCACATCCTAATACATAATGTTGTAGTGTATGGGGGTCCCTAAGATGACACAGTTGAAAAGGTTGACCCGCCCCTCCACTTATCTGCCAGTAATATTTGTATCCCAATTTTAGTCTCATCTCAAACTTGAGAACTACCTTAACTAAGTCGTCTAGAATGGAGGTAAATTTAGTGCGGTCGTTAAGTATATTCAACATTTTCTGAATGCAGGATGTTTTATTAAGTACAACAACCCCATTATCCTTGCCTGGTTTAGTGGTGATAATATTGTCGTTGGATGCTAAATTTTTAAATACGAGAAATTCTTTCTTAGAAAGAACTTGTTTGGTGCTGAAAGAGTTGTATGAATAATAGGATCAAAACACTAAGTGGCGGAGAGAGTTATTGAAATAATGCAAACCCTTTGATACTGGATCATATAAACTGAGAGGAGACAATTTCTTACAAAGTGTCTCAAAACCAAGAACATGGTTAAAAAGTCTAATTTGCAGAGATTAAAAGCAAATTTCAGACCTTTAAATAAAGCAAATTGTTCTACTAGGGAGAGAGACAGATCTGAGTAATTGAAAAATCACCGTATTGGGGGATAGATTACCGTCGTGAACATAACCTATTTTTCTAAATTTGTGGTACTGGACGAATTCAGTTCTAGATATCAGTTTGGAATTACAGTATTTACTAAATTCAATAAATTATACTTTAATTCTCGTAATACTATATCGAGCTTGTCACGGGTAAGATTAACTTTATATAAAATATTTGCTAAGAAAACAGGCGAATGATTTACAATGAACTGAAGGCTGACAGATATATGGAAACTAATTAGTGAGATGAAACTCCTTCAGTCAAGTGAGGTAAGCGTTCAATAAAAAAGAGTGTGAAACAAAAAGATTTGTTTAGAGAATGAACAGAAAACTGCATGACAAGATGGAATGTATACGGGATGATCAAGTCACTCGGAAAGGAACTGTTAGCAACACCTTTTACAAAGAAGATCAAATGGACAGTCTTTAAAAAATGTATTTCTAAAATAAATTTCCACCAGAGAAAATTTCAAATCAAAAGTCTCTAAGCATAATAAATAAAATAGGTAGTTCATAATTCATACTTGCATGTGCCAAAGAAGAGATGTTGATGATGCGTGCAGGTTCAGAATGTGTGAGCAAGGGCAGCAGGAGGCAAGTCAGCAGAAAATGGCCAAAGTGATTGGTGCCCATCTGCATATCAAACCCATCTTCAGTTTTCATTTGTGGACACATCATAACGCCTGAAAATAAATACATTAAGATTAAAGATGACTGAAGAAGATTTAAACTATAGGTATACGATCTGTACCTCACGTGGATATTGACCGGCTGCAAATATGGTTGATGTGTATGAGACGAGACAATTATTTTACATCCATAATTTGGAGGGGATTCGGAAATCTAATTCTTGAACAATAACAGTTTGAAGTTCCAGCTAACTCATGTTTGTAAAAAAAAATCATCTCCTTGACACCAATGTGCAATCGAGGTAACACTTCCTATGAACCAATACGTAAAGACCTCACTTTTCTCCAGTAATTTGGGTGTATTCTGGCTCTATACAAAATGATAGCAAACATCACAGCAACATGTGACCATACTATCACAAATACTACCCCTGGGGCATCAACAGCATGTCTAAGACTGGGGCACCTACAATAGGTACTACCACTGGGGCATCAACAACAGGCACTCCCACTGGGTCATCAACAACAGGTACTACCACTGGGGCATCAACAGCGGGAACTACCCCTGGGGCATCAACAACAGGTACTGGCCACTGGAGCATCAACAACAGGTACTATCACCGGGGCATCAACAACAGGTACTATAACCAGGGCATCAACAACAGGTACTGGCCACTGGGGCACCAACAACAGGTACTATCACCGGGGCATCAACAACAGGTACTACCCCTGGGGCATCAACAACAGGTACTGGCCACTGGGGCACCAACAACAGGTACTATAACCAGGGCATCAACAACAGGTACTACCCCTGGGGCATCAACAGCAGGTACTAACCCTGGGGCATCAACAACAGGTACTACCACTGGGGCACCAATTACAGGCACTGCCACTGAGGCATCACCAACAGGTACTACCCCTGGGGCATCAACAACAGGTACTAGCACTGGGGCACCAACAAAATATACTCAACAAATGGTACTACCCCTGGGGCATCAATAACAGGTACTACCCCTGGGGCATCAACAACAGGTACTACCACTGGGGCATCAATTACAGGCACTACCACTGAGGCATCAACAAGATATACTCCAACTAGGACATCAGCAACAGGTACTACCACTGGGGCATCACCAACAGGTACTACCCCCGGGGCATCAACAACAGACACTAGCATCGTGTCATCAACAACAGGTATTAGCACTGGGGGCATCAAATAATGGTACTAACACTGGGGCATCATCTACAGGCACTTCCAATGAGGCATCAGCAACAGGTAGTACAGTTCCGGATGAAAGTTCTCGTTAGAGTCAAGGTGGAGGGTGCCAAGTCGGCCGCCCTTACTGGACGACGGGTCCGCTGTCCAGCCATTGCCCCCCACCCCCCTCCTCCCTCCCTCCCTCCCTACACACACACATACACACACACCCTCGCAGTTCAGCAATCGAGCTCTGATACTTCCATTTCTGAATTAGGATTAGGGAAGGATGTCATTGTTTTGTCAATAAATTTACGAAACAATTTACTCAATCAAGTTTTACATTATTTGACATAATAGATTACAATACATAATTTCTAGATAATTATGACATAGTGCAGAGTGTGTTTTGGAGACTGGGGTTTGCAACGATACCGGAATCCCCAAGCTGTATTGTCCCTCAGAATGGTAGCCAGAAAACTAAGCATGAATGTGAGGAATAATGTAGTTCATAAGATAATGCTTTATCACCCTCCGTGATAATGGCCTTATCATAGGGTCTACAGAATGTAACCTTGGCTTGATCCCTACAGTGGATGACATGATGGGAGTATGACTGGCTAATGAGCGACACAATTAATATAAAAGTGTGTCACAGCAAGAAGAAGGTCACAACACCGATTGATTAGCGTTTGATGGAAAAATAAGGTTAATATCGGTATGATACCGGTAAGTGATGTAGCCAAGCCTAGTTTTATTTTCTCAGGAACGGTGTTTGCTTTTTGCTTCCTGGTGTCGACATGATGGAAGTAGCCTTTCGTGGATGTATTCAAGTCCAGAATGGTGCCTCTGTTCTTGTATTCGATTTTTTTTTTTACGGGGATTAGCCCACCCGGGCACAGGTCACTGACTGTAATAGCCCCTGTCTCATCAACAGAAAGATTATATAAATGGGTTAATTACATTTGAATTATATACCATATTACCCCCTGTAACTTTCCACTGGCTATGAGTTGTCATGTTCACATCACGTGATTGGTAGCTTCCTTGAGGTGCGGCCAGTAAATGCTTGGATCAGCATACAGATTACAGATTGCTCACGAGGAGGCTAGTTTATTGGGCACCCCTTACATTCTCTGCAAGGTGAAGCGCAGAAGCGTTTACAGTGCCCAACTGGGATGCAAGCGGAGTTCATGCTTGCCTTTATGACTCATGCATTAAGGGCGTAAAAGCCTGAAGGGTCATGGGCTTTGTCAGCAAGTTACATAAAGTGACAGAATGATGAGTGTGTGGGGGGGGGGGGGAATTCCCGGTACAATTTATCTGTTTATGGCAAAGTGTGGCAGGTCCCTAATAATGTCAAGTGCCAGGCCTGTCACTAGGAGGAGGGATATCTGGTCAGGGAGGAAAGAGGTGTTGGTAACGGCTGGGGACCTGTAGGAGGAGGTCATAGGGCAAATGAGGATGTGGTGAAAGAGGGTGTGAGAGTCGGTTGACCACAAAGTTTACAAACAGTGCGGCCAGGCTCAGGGATGCCAATGTACTAGGCGTGGCGAAGTACAGTGGGAGTGATGGAGGTGATATGGTGTGGTGGGGCAGGTACAGTAGGAGTGGAGGGGGGCACATAGGCATTGACAACATTGAGGGACACACCTATTAGTGTAATTGTGATGGCGTGTGCGTCGACATGCCGGTGGGGTACAGGTAGCCGGGGGTGGTTTCCTCAGGTCCAGATAGCCCTGGTGGAGACAGCACAGACACAGGAGTGGGCGCGGCTTGCGGTGGGTGGAGGACAGGTTGAGGCACCAAGTGTCGTGAAGATGGGGCAGGACTTCGCTCGGGGGCAGCAGGACACACCAGGGCAGGCCCGGTAGGCAATACGCCAGTAGTGAAGGCCGCCGGCGGTGGAGTAGGCCGTGAGCAGGGGGGGCTCACAGGGGGACTACCAGCTTGTGTCAAACCAGAAGAGAGGAGTGACTGGGTGGCAACAGATGGCAAGAGTAGGTGGGAGATGGTGGTACAGAGTGTAGCGAAGAGTTTTTCAATACGGTTGATAAATTTTTGGAAGAGGGACACTAGCGTAGCTAGGGGGGGGGCGGTCCGCCCCGGGCGGCACTTTTGGGGAGCGGCACTTTTGGGTCTGCTCATCACCCATATCTGCAGCTACTGGAGACGTTAATCCATCCCTTTGTATCGGCGGCAAGTTAATCCTTGTCGTGTCTGACCTAACACCTGACCCACATCATCACGGCCACGTCATGAGCTACACCCTTGCTATGAGGCCCCCCGCCACACACACAACCTGTAACCTGTTGAGGATTAAGGAAACAACTTCAAACAAGTACGCCAGTGAGCTCATGTGGTGTGGGTCAGGTGTTAGGTCAGACACGACGAGGATTAACTTGCCGCCGATACAAAGGGAAGGATTAACGTCTCCAGTAGCTGCAAAACCATGCAGTGATCTGGGGATAGTCATGGAGCGTCAGCGTCGACCCAAAAAGAAGAAACAAATGTTTGGTGAAGGATCACGAGATGCTGAATTGCCATACGACATTGATTTGAGGAGAGAAATGTTTTCTTCGCTGGACAGAGTGATCCAAGAAATAACTTTGAGATTTCAACAGCTTCATGAACTTGCTGAGAAATATGCCTTCCTTACCCCATTGAATCTTTTGGATGATAAATATGAGTGTCAAATAGATCACGATCACGACGACATTGATAAAGAGGAGTTCCTCGTTGAGAGAAAAAGACTTCAGCATTTTGTTGCTGTTGTTGCTATAACTATTAAAGACAGAATACAGACGTGGAAAGAAGGCCCCCTTGAACTTTTGCAGTTTATTCAAAAATATAACCTTGGGAACTCGGTTCCAACTATAGTAATAATGCTGAGGATTTTCCTCACAATTGCTGTTAGTGTTGCTGCCTGTGAGAGGAGTTTTTCGAAACTAAAACTGATCAAGAATTACTTAAGATCTACTTTGAGCACCTTGCGGTTGAGAAATCTTGCCATACTGTCTATAGAGCGACAATTGACAGATGAAATAGTTTTTGACAATGTCATTGAAGAATTTGCCAACAAAAAAACAAGAAAAGTTACTTTGTAGAAAGTTGTAGTTTTCATTTCAGAAATAAAGATGGTCCTAATTTTTTACACTTTTTTACTTTTTTCCCTATCCTATATGTCGTTTTTGCTTTTTGTTTAACTGTTACTTATAAAGTTTAAGTATGTTTGGTGTGTATTTAAAGCATACTATATTTGAGTATGTGAAAGTACAGTAATATTATAATGGTACACAAACTATTTAACATATATATATATATATATATATATATATATATATATATATATATATATATATATATATATATATATATATATATATATATATATATATATATATATATATATAAGAGTGAGTCACTGTGCAATATGTATTTTTTGTGGGGGCACGGGGGGGGTGTCAAACTCTAGGGCCGCCCCGGGCGGCACACACTCTAGCTACGCCACTGAAGAGGATAGGATCTGTGCCGCGTCACTGGCGGGGGCTGTGGGGGGCACCGTGGGAGCACAAGGCCTGGCAGCTTCAGAGTACAGACAGGGAGGAGGCCCAGTAGTAGTTGAGTTAGGAGACGGCCGGGACTGCTATGTTGTAGCCAGGAGAGGCCAGGCAGAGGCAGGTGTTGTTGAAGAAGGCGTTGCTGGAGACAGAGGGTACACAGAGGGGTGTGGCCCGGAAGACTGGAGGGGGGCGTTGTGGTAGACTTGGCCTTTGGGGAGGCTTTTCCCCTGGGAGAGACGGGCGATTGAGGCATTGCCGTGAGTCAGCATTGTGTCGGCCTCCACAGTTACAAC